AGTGCTCTTGAGACACCTCGTACGAATCGGGAGAATATGCGTCCACTTTACGCAGTAGTCTACTTCTCTCCTTGTCTTGCAATATATAGTGACCTTGTCGCTCGATCGACTAATAGCTATCGATCCTTTTTCCTCGTTCACCAGTTCATTTTTCCCTCTTAATGTTAATGTTGTTAATAACTGTTAATAATGGAATAAGGCGATTCTGACACGGATGGAGGTAATTCGATATAATCCTTGTCGATCCATTCATCTTCGCCAAACGGAGAAGCGATACTGCGCGATACAGAAGTTAACAAAGGTATACCATCTGAGCCTGATGTCAAGTACTTGATGATACTCGATCGATCGGCGAATCCAAGTCGATTTTGTGCGTTTTGCGGTCCCAATTCCTCATTGTCCTCATACCGATAAACTTTCGACAATTTTTTACCGAATCGAAAGTTTTCTGGCAGACAGTGATGCTGACGACAAAAGTAATCTTGGCCCTCTTCAGCGTGGCACCATGTTCCATCCGGAAAGTATGGGTCGAGTCCAAGGTCATTTAATTCGACGCGTGGTGCGTAATAAGCGGCAATGTCCTTTCGCCAACAGAATATAGCACAGGCCATCCATGGCATGTCGGCTTCGTGAGCCGCCTGCAATCCTTTCGCCGTGCCGTCCAATTTGGGTAATCTTTCGCTGAAAAGGCCACATTTCAGCGTGGCAAACTCTTCGATTGTTCTGCGTTTCTTTTTGCAAAGTTTCTCATCCTTGCACAATATTACATCGTAATACAGCCCTTTGCAATCCCTCGCCATCCTCAGACGATTTCGATTCTCGCAGAATCGTCGTCTAACTCGAGCGCCTTTGGATCTTTGCAAACAACCGCTACTGCAGGAACCTTCCTTCCATTCGCTCCAGCTATCTTTCTGGCTATCGGATGATTCCGGTGTTGGTTCGGGAACGGGTAGACATTCTCCACCGCGACATTCTCTACCGAATGTGCATCGAGTTCCTGTAGAAAAGAAAAAAGAAAAAAATAAATTAGTTCGCCGAACGCTAACAGACCTATTCGTACGACACTTATATACCGTCCAACGCTGGTCCTGCGAAATAATATCCACTCCTGTGAGGCGTTTTGCATTGCAAAGACTGACAAGCCTGATACAATGTAACAACGTCCGCGTCCTTGTCACGTAAAAGTAACTCGCACTGTCTCTTGGCGGTCCATTCTCTCCCAGGTAAATCACGATATCGCGAATGATTGTGCGCGAATGCATCCGAGAAATTTCGTGGCTCCGGCTGATCCAAGAGACAGTGTTTCGTTTGTGAAAGCATCTCGGCCACCTCACGGCTACAATCAGACCAAACCGTCTCACCTCGAACGCCTCTACTGGGTGACATTATGTATCCATCCTTTGGACACGCATTGCCACTTGAATCGTGTGGCATTCCTAAACTTTTAAACAAAAAGATCATTCGAGCGTCGATACTTACATATCGTATCGTTTAAATATAGCTTACTTATGACCGATTTCATGAGCGGCGATATAAACCGATGTAAAGCCTGCAGACGGATACGGCTTTCCAAGTTGGTCCGTAACTCCCAATTCTGCTATCACGCAGGAATAATGTGGGATGCACAAACCGCCGACGGTGGCTAGTCCCATGGTAGCGCCGTTCTTCCTTCCATTTTCGATCGCGTAAAGGTCCAGTCCAGTTACATAGAGGCCCATGTCCCAGTGATGGAAATGAGAATCCTCCGGAGGATTGCGAGCGTTTGCGTAATAACAAAACGAATCCAACAAGCTACCTCTCTCGCCGCCAAAATGCGGTAGATCAATTGGCTGCCTTTGAATAATGTCTAAGCGTATCAATGAGATGTCGATTGGGATACCGAGACTCGGATGATGATACAGTGCCTGAATACCATTGACGTATGCTAACAACATGTCACGAATCTTCTCATCGTCTTCATCCAGAAAAGGCGAAAACAAACGATACGCAGCCTCGTCGAAGAAGACTGCCAGTTCCAATGTTAAGTTTTCTTTAGTATCTCGTATTAGGCGTCGTTTGGTTTCAAAATCTGGATCAATGAACGGTGTTCTCGATGGTGATCGCTTGACTACATGAGGGTCACCCAACGGAAGATTGGCTTCTTCTTTAACATAATGGTCGTCGATGAGTAAGGGTGAAGATGCAAGGCCGTTTCGTAAAGGCGTGATTTCCAATGTAACGTTTTCCAGAAAGACGAGCCCGTGCTACCTCCAACAAAGATGCATTAATTTTTATTTTGTTTTACACGAACATTCTTATATCGAGAGAAAGGGAGAGAGAGAGAGAGAAAATTAAAAAAAGTTTTTCTCCAAAAAATATCACCGACCAATCCATGTTCTTGACAAAAACTTATGGCTGCGGAACCTTCATGACTTTTGTGAAGATAATAACAAGAATCCAGTGCATTTAACTGTGACAATTCTTCCGTAATGCTCTTTGCATTGTGTTTCCAGACTTGAAACTGAGGCGATACGATGTTGTCATTTCTACGTAGATTCAATTGGATCAATTGTCCAAAGACTTTGAAAGTTAAGGGAATCTGCAAATCGAATAATCATTAAATCAAATGTAAATAATAATCCGATTTAAGTCTTACACTTTTAAAGAATAAATTAAACTATACGATAATGTACCTCTGATGCACCTTTCGAGTCCCATACTGACAGCAATATTACCTCGGTATCTCTCGGTATATTACGCGCGTGAACTTGGTTTAATAAAATTACCAACATCAACCTCATCAATACAAAGGACATGATCTTCATCTCGTGTGTTTCAAGTTCAAGTACTTGGAAGAACGTAACTATAATGTCTCTTTATATATTTAAATATATATATATATATATACACACATACGATATAAAACCCGTATATTCGTTATCATTTCGGAAGTTTATGTACAAAGTGCATGCTGGTACTTGCATTTAAAAATATGCATTGTGTCATTGACACCTACGTATGTATAAGCTATTTATGTTTTCAAGTTTTGAGCAGAAAGATTAACTTGACCTATGGTACCAGCAGTGGCGACACAATTCAGAAAAATTGATTTATATAGCTGATATATATATATGTAGCACATGATGATAACAATAGTCGCACTTTAATTCACAATAATTTGATTTCTTGAATTCTAAAATCAAAACTACTATCAAAATTTGTTATTTATTGTACACTGATAAGTTACGCCTCGGTATAAAAGAGGTAACTAATATGATAATAACCACAAAACGTTTTATTTAAATCGAAAATGCCGCCAGAAAATTGCTATATAGATGTGCGGGAAGGTAGAAATAATAAAGAAAAACTTTACTTGTTACAAATAGTAATAGTATTAAAATATCTCAATAAAAACAATAAATAATAATTGCGATCAATAATAAAATTAATTTATAGAAGATTCGGCAGTGTATCTAGCATGCTTGGCAATGCTCGTTATCAACTATAAATATGACGTTTAGAGGATATATTAAATAATACGATAATCAATTTCTCACAGTCTAACATGATGATCCTTCCATATATATGTATATATATGTATAGGTATATATCTCTGTATTACAATTATATTGTTTCACCTCAAATAACACTTAAAAATATCTGATACACGTGAGCATACATTATAGATTGTGTAAATCCTTTTTATGTCTAAAATAATTAGATAAGGAATCAAGTGAAACTTGGGATAAGCGTTTCAAATATAGATATTTTTAAGTGCAATTTGAAATAAAATAGTATAACTGTAATACACATGTATGTACAAAATGAAACCAAATTATATGTCAATACTTGAGGCGATAAATCCAAAAGAAACAATCCACATATGAACATAGATTTTCGATACTTCCAAACTATTGTAACAAATTTAAGATTTTTGAAGCCAGTTTGCCTTTGTAACGCACGTGCGTTTGTAGCACATCTTAAAATGATATTTTAGATTAAACGATAGATTACGAATGTGTATTGTGGATTGACATGTAATTAAGAATCGTCTTGTACACGACCGGAATAACTCGGCAATGTAAAAAAGAAAGGACCTTTATACATACAATATAGCATCGCTTTTGTAAAGCGTCAATTTGAAGTACTACTTGTTTATTCGACGTTTACTCGATTTATTTTGCAGCACCGGAAACCATGCATGATGCCCAATTATATGATGCACCATATAAAACTTTGTAAACTGACTCGCAACTGCCATTCTTTGGATATTTCGCACAGTCACACAACAATGTATGTAGATGTGTACCGAAAAAACAATTTGCCTTTAACTTTTCGCCTCGAAATACGAATGCATTTTTAAGTGACTATTTTTTATACGGTTCATTGCCATAATTCTATGAACCACAGTGAACACTTAGGTATATATCCTCCAAATGGTGGAAGATATAGCCGTATATAAAATTTGTAGCCAATATTTGCTACGAACACACAAAGGTTTTGCTGGTTTGCTTTTTTCCTCTTTTTTTCAATGCCAATTGTTCGGTCTACCGTAATACGCCTGTAATACATACCGTCATACATACAAACATATATACATATCAAACGTTACACACGCGTACACGCGTGCGTATGTGCACGCAGGCACATACAATACAATACAATACATACATACGTACATTATGATACATACCTACATCATGATTCCTACAACATTATGATATTTCTTTAATGTGTCTAATGTGCATCAACCAAGCCATGTGTATGCATCTATGTTTGTGTTATGCGATTTTATGTGCATGTGTACAGGCGTAAATTACGAGACCTTTATAATCTACATAAACATGGTATACAATTTCAACAATATTGTATTATTGTTAGAAGAGACATAATTGGTGGTAATTATTCACAAAGTGAACAAACTAAAAAAAATTTGATTACTGATGAATAATATAATAATAATAATAATAATAATAATAATAATAATAATACCTTAAAATGCTACATCAGTGAGAATAATATCAGATAACTCTCTTTCAATATCTGTAAATTTTTCTCAATATATAACACGTGTAATTGCTAGTAGCCTTGCGATCTTAATCAGCATAAACTTGAAATTCATGAATCCATTAGTAATGTTCATTTATTCTTAATTATATTCATTGTATAATACAAATGTATTTGAAGTTAAATGAATCACAAGCATTCATCAGCTTCATTGATCTCACTCAAATATGTTCACATGCAGACATATATATTTTTTTTTCGTTCCTTTTCCATTAAGGCTTCTGCTTCCTCACTGCGATATTAAAAATTCTACTACTAGAAACGAGAAATACGAATTCGTTTTTCTATATTATATATGAGCATAAATTAATTTTTTCGTGCTGTTTTAACGAGGACAAATATCATGATAGTTGATAAAATTTGCAATTACTTGTTAGAATAACTAATTTACTTGATGTATGAATGAAATAAAAAAATTCACACAACTTTTCGTTTCTCTTTTTTTATACACCGTTTTCTAATGTCGTTGCAGTGAAAAAAACAAGTCTTAATTTTCCTTGATTTAATTATACAAGATACTTGTGTCTTTTTTGAATATCGTAAGCATGTACAATTCACGTACACGAAAAATACGAATCATCATTATATTATAAAAGAGAGTTATTATACATAACAAAACGAGAACAATAATTTAATAACTTTAAAAGTAAAAACAACGCTATTTTGTTTCCCTCACCTAAGCTCGAAAGAAAAAGCAAACTTTCTCATCATTAATATAAAAAATTATCTTTCACACAGTATAGGTAAAATTAGGATTGTTCGTCATTCGAAGGCCATTGCCCGGAATGGTTCCAATCCCAATCTTTGCCTTTAGGACGAAACTTGCTGGTACTTGCAGAATTACTCCAATCACGATGAAAAAACTTCTTCTTAAAGTGATGCCGCTCAGGATCTAGTTGTCGTTGGTATTTCAAAGGTACTGAGGAAGATGTTGCACTCGGAGGATTATTAGATGAATTTGCAGGACGGGGGCTGGTTGGAGAAGGTGTTCTCGGCGGTCCTAACGCTTCATCAGGAGAAGGTACGACAGGTGGTGGCCCTGTTACGACACTATCTGAACCTAATCCACTGTCGGGACTTGTATTTACTCCTTCTGTCGATCGTCTACGTTTATCCAATTCTGTGGAAGCAAACGCGACCAAGCGATCAAATCCTGAGCTGATACGATCTTGCCAGTCAGCTTCTCCATCTGCAAAATAAATCTCTATTAATCATTGTAATATGCTTATAATAAATTAGCTTTAGATAAGCAATGTGTCAATAAATTTTCATAAAAATAAGCCATTAATTAGATACAGATATAGTATAATCCACAATTATCTTTCATACACATATGCACACACAATTATGTATCTTATAAATATATATTCTACAAAAGTAGAAAACTGCCTGAATTCAAATCAGTCTACATTTGTACACTATCATCATTATTTATTATGCGTGCAAATATTTTAGATAATATTAAAGTAAATTTTAAGTGCTACACAAGTTGCTGTGTTTCTATTTAATGTATAAATAAATCGAACAAAGTAAAAATTAAAGTCAGTTTTATTTATAACGTTAATGCTCGTTTCTATCAATATAGAGTGTAACTTTAAATTCTTAGAACTAGAAAAAGATGAAGAGTTAGTTGAACCAAAATTAAAATTAAATTACATTGGTAGAATGGGCATAAATCACATAGTTATATATAATGAATCTTGTAATCTTAAACAAAATTAATTTCCTCAAATAAAATTTGAAGTTGTTATAAATATGAAATACAGCAAAATGTTAAAACGCATGTGAATTAAAATATGTACTAATATGTATTACCACGCTAATTGTACTTTTTATATATAATAATTGATTAAACTGAAACAGCTATACTAGAAGTGGAATGCAAATAGTAAAATGAATAGAAAATGAAACAAAATTTTTCATGCAACATGCATTAAAAGTACAGTCCACCAATTAGAATACATTAGCTTGAACTCTGATTTAACATGCCATATACATATAATTAATTCACGAAGTAGAATTTGTATCTTTGCAAGTCTGGCTTATTTTCATGGAAACGGATTTCTAAATAGTGTCTTTTGTGTTGTTTCTCAAAATAGAAGGGGCATACGCTGCTCGCACGTGTGCCTATAAGGCAAAAAAGAGAGATGATATAAAATCTTTTATATATTTTACGGAATGAGAATCAAATAACAAAATGAATTTTGACCCCCGTGGGACAACTCACCGGTGATTGAACCGACGAACCAACCCACAGGCAGCCGTATTTTTTCATTTCTCCCTCTCATCTGTGTGTCTCAATCTCTAATAAAACAAGCTTCAGGGATTCTGAGATTGAGTATGTGACAGACAGAACTAACCAACAAACAGCTACAGTGCATCTAACAAATACAGCAAACAACAACAAAAATAAATATAAATAAAAGTCAGGTACCAGCTCCGTAAGATAAGCTAAACCATTAGTGCATGTAAATACGTGAAGAGATGCATCAGACAAAAAAATAATACCGTATCTAAATATATCTAAAAGGACCTAAGCGCAAAGTGGCATTTAGGGTTGTGTAGTGCAAAGATTTTTGTCGGCAGTACTATCATCCCTTGTTACGTATACGATAATGGATATAGTCAACGCGATGCTACAAATGCTTTAAAGTATTTCTTGATTGGTCAATTTGTAAAATTCTTTCTTCTGATTGATCAATCAAACGCTTCGAAACATTTGTAACGAGACTTTAACTACAGCCAATAAGACTAAAAAAAAAAGGTAAATGCTGAAAATACATATGTGTGTTTCTCTTAAAAAAAAGGTACGGTATGTGTATTTTTTTTTTTAAAGAAAATTACATGTGAAAGATATTTTCAGCAAATTTTCGTATTGAATGGACAAATAAAGTAATGCTACAATATAGTTTGCGTTAGTTAACAACTTGAATTAATAATATAACTAATAAATATATATAAATGTCTATTTTATCGCAAAATATCTGAAAGTATAAGAGAAATCAAAGTACTGAAAAAAGTTTGAAAAAATTTCATAAATATTTAATAACTTCACGTATTACGATAGATCTTCCGTAGCAACTGTACCGAAAAGCATAGTCAATAGAAATACAGCCAAGCATATATTTTATTATCAATGTTCTAATGGGACATCTTTTCCAAGTCCCAAAAACACAAGTCTTTCTTACGCTTACCATCATCTCCAACAGCACTTCGTTGTCTTTGCGTTGTCATCTGGGGTTCATCGACTAGTGGCGTCGAAGTATTAGAGTGTGGTTCAACAAGCGGACTTAAAGGTGCTCCGCTTGTGCTTACCGACGATACAACCGCTTCCGTTTTTACTGACATCAACGGTTGTGATTGGCAAGCTGCGGTACTACTTGTCGTCGCGTTTCCATTATTACTACTGCTTGTTGCATATCGCGGATATGGCTGATATCTAAATATAATAAGAATGTCATGTTACATGTGCTCGATTTCAAATGCAACGTATGATATCGCTACCTTCTACTGCCGGAAAGAGTAGATTCGGTTTTGCCGCTACTATTGTGGTTTAATATTCGAGCGTGCAACGACGCTGCGAGCCCTTCTACAGGTAACAATTCGCCATTCGATGTGTTTTGAGACGAATGTAGAGGTGACGCCGCCGAATGCGATTGTGTGAGCGACTGAGACGGATTATCCGAAAAGTAAGATTCGTGATAAGGCTTAATATCCGCTCGCGGCAATTGAACCGGTGTATATCTGACGATAGAAACAATTCATCCTGTATCTCGAGCGTTTTGCTGGATTGCTTAAAGTAATCGTGAGATATAAAGGAATAGATACCTTTGTGGTTGCGTTACCGGAGTGAAGAGCACAGACGATCTCGAACTAGTCGTGGGTGTGGAGGTAGAAGTCCCCGAAGAGGTGGGCGCGTAGCTAGCTACATGCGCCAACGTTGACAATCCAGCGTCTCCTTCGGCACTTGCTGGTCTACTAATGGGAGAGTATACGGTTTCGGGTCTCATAATTGCACTCATATCAACGGTGGCATTTATTATAGATTGATTGGATATTTCCAGAGTTCTTTCTATTTCTCCACTAACGAGATCGCCAATCGTCCTTGTACCAAGTAATCCACTCCCACTTGCTACAAGCCGATTGTCATAATTCGACGGTTGCCTAGGATCAATTGTCGATCTATCAGACGGTGTCAAATGAGTCGACGAGAGGCGTTCTTGCGAAAGATGACGGCGCAATGCTAACTTTGCAGGTGAAACCTATAAAACGATAAAAAAATATTATACGTGCGGGATTAAAATAATTTTTATGAGATTACGTGATACGTAAGATATGCATTTAAGGATCAGTACACTCACTTGAGTATAATCCGGAGTAGAAACATTCTGTGGTAACGAAACGCGCTTTCTCTCAGATTCGGACTGACTTTGCAATTGCACTTGCAACTGCATCTGTTGTTGCTTGTTCCTGTTTTGTTGATCTTCGTTTAATACACTTGTGATGATACTTTTTAGTCTATCCTCAAAATTGGCGACTCTAGGAGGCTCTTGAATTCGATTCGATATGTCTGTATTGGCCGTCTGCGGTTGTGTGGATGAAATAGAAGACGATGTGGAGAAGGTGAGAGAAGCCTGTGGCAGTCTAGTTCTGGAATTGCTATTAGCACTCTGTCTGTTTGGTATACGACCCGCTTCTATCTGCCTTCCCGTTTCTAAAATCTTTTGTGCTAATATTTCTGGATTATTTTCCTGTATTTTTCCTATGTCCGGAACGTCGGGCCATTCTTGCGACCTCGAACGACCTTCCCTACCTTTACGCGCTACTCCATTTTTAATACTCTGCTGCTGACTACCATGATGTAAATTTTGCGAATGTTTACTTCCAATTGCGTCCTTCTGCTGCTGAGCAATAGCAGCGGCTTGCTTCTCATTACTTGTCCTTTCCAATACGTTTAATTCGTGCTCTAGCTTTGAAACCTATTGCACAAAAGAGAAGTTTAATGAAATTCAAAAGAAACAAATCTTTTTTGCGTTTCACGCATACATATATTTATATCCAATATGAGAGAAAGAAGCAAGAAAAAAGTAACAGGAGGATGCAAAAGTAATACATATGTTGTTGTACAAATTAAATCAATTAATAATTGCTGTTAAGTAACAAAAATATATACCTGAGAATGTAATCGTTTACGCTGAGAAAGAGTGGCGGAAATTTCTTTCAACAAATAATCCTCGGTGAGCGGTTGATGTGGATTCGTTATGCCAATTGCATTTGGATGACCATTATATTTTTCCTGCAATTCTTGATGTCTAAGCGCCACTAGCCTGTTTTGTTCTGTTTCCATAGACGCCACTTGCGCTTGCAATTTGCTCGCTTTAGCCTGTAGCTGTTTATGTCTTAGAACTATTTCCTTGGCTTTTGCCAACAGATCCCCGGGTGACGTTGCATTGATACCTAATTCAGTCATTCTTGCCTTCAAGAGAGCTACGCTGTCATCTATCAACACTTTAATTTGTTTCTCCAATTGCGCCGCTCTCGATTGAAGTTTTGAGTTCTTTTCTCTTTCTTTCGCAATATCCGTATTGACGGATAACTTGTAAGTGGGCGTTCTCATCGATTCTAACATAAGCATAAATTGGTCCCTGTGGTAAAAGATTTTTATTCATAATATTAATCTTTAAAAATAGACGTGTGGTTTAAAGTTGTACGCAAGTTGGTAGATGAGATGCCCAGAACAGTCTCCCAAAAATTTTAATTTTATACACAAACATTTAATTTTATAGTCATATTTTTCGTTGAGATATGTTACAATAAATAAATTACTTTAGTTATACCTTTATGACATACAAGAACGTAAAAATAGTGAACTTCACAGATAATACTTTTTTATTTTCGTTTTTCAAAACAAGGTTCTAAAGAAAGTTTTATATCTGATATATTGTGATCATCGCACCTACCTGTACTTAAAGGTTAATAATGCAGAGAAAAACAGAATCAAAGACTACATTTTCATGGCATCCTTAATCGAGTTTAATAACATCCATAATTATGAAACTGGCCGATCACAGTCCCATTCTTCTGAGGAACAGCTATGATTGACCAATTTCATAACTGCGGATGTTATTAAACCCGATTTAGCATGCCGTGTAACAGAGATCAAAGTGATAGAGAGAGAAGGATAGAGGGGAAAAAAATAATGATACATAAAATAATGACCTGTACAAGTCCAGAAGTATTTGTAGAGCGTAAGGAGTCGCGGACGGAGCGGGTGGTATACTGAGTTCTTCATGCACTGAAGTGGAATGCGATTGCAATGAAAGCGACAATGAAGACAGTTGTTGGTCTACACAACCAGGAGCAGGCGGAGGTTTTTTCCCAAGAGCTTGAGGTGACGTACTGAGTAAAGTTTGACTATGTAACAAATCTAGTCCAGATATATTAATTGCCTTTTTAGGCTTGGCTCTCTTAACACCTCTTCCTCTCTGTCTACCTCTAGCTGGAGCTCTCGTAATGCCATTCGTAGTTTTTCGATTGAATTTCCTCCGTATTTTATTTGGCTGTCGACGACTTTTAATAGTGCTGTCGTCTAAATCGGAGTCACTATTTGTCCCTTGCTGCTCTGAATGATTCGGACTGTCCAATTGCCTTGAAAGATCTCTCTTGGCTCTGTCACCTCTTTCATTCCTATTAGAAATCTTACTACTATTGCTGGCAGTGTTGCTTATCACAGAATCAGAGTTTTCATCTAAGCCACCTTGTTTATTGTTCTTTAAGCGGTGGAAATAACGTTCTAATTTCGTTCGATCGATTACGTGCAAATAATATGACACCGGTTTACCAGTCCAAGAGACGGAACCTTTTAACGGTGACATCTCCGAGACATGCATTATCGTGCCAATATCTGACGAGATAAAAATTGCAAAATCAGAATTGTGGAGGTTTTTGGAAATATTCGTTAAAAGATAAATGTATTACCACTCAAGTTCCTGTCCGTTATTCGGAAGTTTAGTGGACAAAACGATTTTGAAGACACTATACGCGCGCCATCCCGTAAATCAGCGAAGCGTTCCTTTAATTGATGATCAACCGTTGGGCCAAATGCAAAATTATTAACAAACACTATAGTAGCTCCGGTTATACTTTCCCTGTGTTCATCGGCTAAGAAGTCTCCTTTTATTAAACGATATTCTCCGCATCGTTTCCCATACCAATTTAACCATTTTCGAAAATTTATTTCCATGCTCTACAATAGTTTAACATTTCAAATCGATAAGACATGCTGTCTTTACTTACTTAAAAAAAAAAAAAAAGAAATCTATAATCATTAATCTATAATTATGTGTATTTGTACCTGTGCATATTTTGATGGTACATCGGCTCTCTCTACGCCGATACAAATTTTACACAAAGTTGCAGCTGCCATCTGAAGAACCACTTGACCAACTCCAGAACCTAGATCTACAAAAACATCGTCCTCTGTTACGTCAATTTGATCAATCATCTGGCATACAAGCTCGTAACTCGTCTCGCCATAGACCTCGGGTGAAAAAGGCTCGTACTGATTTAACTTGTCCGGTTCAACCACAGCTTGATTATAAGTTTGTTGAAGTATATGACGAAGTAATCCTCTACTAGGTCTCTTATTTAGTCTCTGGGATGGCAGGCTGGTGCCTTTTTCCTATAGAAACATTTTTCAACAAACCATCAATATGTTTTACCATTTAGAACTTGGGAGGTAAACTGAAGGAAATAAAAGGAAATGATATATATATATATATACACACAATGTACAAGAAATATACAAATTACAAGAAAAGAGAGCTAAACATACCAATTGTACTAAACTATCGATGGCTCTATTAAATCTATCGCACAAGCTTTTCATACTTTCGTAATCTCTTGGATCGTAGTCACAGAGGATATTGTTTTCTAAGGGTAATTTCAAATCTGGCAAATCTTCGCAAACCCATCGCATAGTTTCGATAACGTCCAGTGCTCCATCGTGACGATCCTACACAGACACATACGTACATAAGACATGGAACACAGCTATCCTCAGTAGCGTGACACGAGAAGAGAAAATAAATGAGTGCGGGTAACAGACAGACAGAACTGTCAGTGGTACGCGAGTTTTTTTTTTCGGCAATTTACTCACAGAGCCTGATCCGGAGGTAAGAGGCCACTGATACACGATCGGTTCCGCTCCTGCTGGCGAGTGCAAACGCAACTCCATTTTTACTAGCGAGTCCTTTCCCTCGTTCCTCTTGTGCTCGAAGGGAAAACGAAGCCGAGAAAAGGAGACGTACGCGCGCACGCACGCACGCACGCACGCACGGTACGTACGTACGTACGCACGCACGCACGCACGTAAGGCGCTCTATCCGTCCCGCACGGGTCTGCGCTTTCTCGGAGGTGACGTGATGTGACGTGCACGCGCAACGGCGAAGGAAACGCGCGCGCCGTCGGTCAGGATGGATGAGCGGAGACTACGATGACGACGAGGCAGTGCTAACGTAACGTGGCGGGGTCAGTGGCAAACGGCTGTGCTCCGATCGATCACTCCCGTCGGGATCACTAGGACATGACCACCGCGTCGTAAACAATAGATCCCCCCTGCACCGCAGCCACTTCCACGGACATGAAAACGTCCAGGCGCGAGCGCCAAAAGACTCGCTAGCAAAGGTGAACTTGGATGAACTTTGCACGAGGGTTATCCAGCAGATCCAGATCGAGCTCCGCCGAGCTCTGCTGAGCTCCGCGCGACGTGCATGCAGATTGACCGATTGACGAACTATGGGAAGCTACGGCGCTGGTGAACGCGCGACAGGCTACCGTGCCACCGGGAACCACTGGAAACCACTGGAAACCACTAGGAACCACCGGATATCGCCGGATATCGCCGGGAACGTGCGCTGCGGCGTGAATCTACGGGAAAGCACACGCTAAAAAAACACGGGCTATCCTCTGCACGAAACAACGTTCAGGGGTGGGGGTGGGGGGGATGACGACATCAAAACATGGCGAACATGGCGTCATGCCTCTTCCATCTTGTTCCGTCAGCGCCGCAGTTCGCACATCCGGTTCGGACGTTCCCGGTTCCCCTCACTCGCCTCTTGTCCCCCTACTTGTCGTTTTTTTTATCTCGTGTTATCGGAGTTATTCTCTTTTCGAATATTCGCAGATACACCGTGCTCTCCCACGAACGGAATCTTCCATTTTATCTCGTATCAATTTCGCATAGTTATCGTTGTTATCAATAATCATGTTATGATTAGATTTGTTCGCGATTCGATGGAATTTTCATTTCTCGTCGAAAGAGTCATTCCGTTCAGATGAATTGGCACACTCGAGTTTTACCCATATAAACCGTTTTTTTCTCGTGCAAACTTTTGCACAAGCTGTACGTAATATCTACATACATACATATCGTATATATGTGCATGCATACCACAAATACCGCGATCCCTCTATTTTTTGGGAATCATCGAAACCGAACTGCTACGAAGCTAGCTTGAGTTACTAGAAACGCGTGCAGCCAACTAGTGGTCTGTTTCTGCACTAGACTGTTCTAGAACTCTTTTTCTCACTTTAGCAAATATCACACGTATATCTATCTCACTTAAAGTTCCAAAAGTGTACACTAGTTCGGACACAGAAAACAAACCTTTTAACATAATCTAGTAAAAAAGTAAGTTTGTCCGATGAATTTGCTTGCTGATTGGCTGCAAGATAGAGAATTTCTCGAAAACTCTCTTTCATGCAGCCAATCAAATTATAGACTGCGCAAATTTGAATGCGCACAAATATAAAATTTTGATCTGGTAACACTGAGCTCCGTTACCATCCGTTATCGGCGATTATTACTAAATGACGTTTTCCCAACGTCGTGAGTCGTCCCACAGCGTTTTGTAACATTTTTGAATTTTGTAATCTGTTGTAAACTGTAAATAAATATATTCTCTCTACATTTCTAGATTAAATAAATAATACAAACGTAGTCATGACAGAAGCATGGAGATTGGATCATCGGGCGAGAAAGAGGATCAAAGAGGTGAAAAAGAAGGCTCGACCAGGTAAAGAAAATGGAACTTATAACCTACGTTACAAAGTGGCACACCGATATCGGCTTTTTCCGTTTTCTGTTTCATGTATCTGTTATACGTAGCAAAAGTTAAATGCCCGAGCTTAATAAGATAGTAAAAAATCGTGTTCACCAACTTTATACGATTATTTCCAAGAAGAGCAAGACAGAGCACTCCCCTGAGACCTTGAATGATGATGATGTAATTCAATTTCCCGATAATCTTAATCCACTTATTCACCTTTAAAGACCTTTAAACATCCATCAAATCAGTTCGAGATCTATATGTCTCGACTGTGATCTGCAGAAACACATTATATTATTATTATTATTATTCTATACAATTTTATATACAAAATAATTTAAGTCATGAACTGATATCATCGAAAACTCATGATACATACTTGTAATGATACTACACGATACTACTTGAATGTATATACTTTTAAGAGCTTGCTGATAAAGCTGCGTGGATCCAGCATGGCTATTGTAAAATTTTTCAAAACTTCTGGGAATTTCAAGACAATGCTGAACGAATCGATGAATTCAGTGTGACTACGGAAGAATTCGTAGAAAAATATGAAAAACCTTATAAGCCTGTGATAATACGAGGTGTTCAAAATGGCTGGAGAGCCCAACACAAATGGACTATAGAGGTTGGATCTTTTTTGTATGTGATATTTACTAGTTTGTTTTGTTCTTTATAAGTAGATAAGATTGTGATTATTTAAAAAGATGTACTTTTCAAATATTAGACAATTTTGTAATTCGATTTCAACAAACTCTAAATTTTATCAATGTACTCAATTGAAAGAAAAGTCATGTCTTTAATGCTCATACATTATAAAAATAAGTTTCAATAATTCTGATTTTCTCATTTGATTCCAGAGATTAGCAAAGAAATATCGAAATCAAAAGTTTAAATGTGGAGAAGACAATGAAGGATATAGTGTAAAAATGAAGATGAAATATTATGTTCGGTATATGTTTAATAATGAAGATGATTCTCCTTTATACATTTTTGATAGTTCGTTTGGTGAACATCCAAGACGAAAAAAATTGTTGGAAGATTATGTAATTCCTAAATACTTTCGGGATGATCTTTTTCATCATGCCGGCGAACATCGAAGACCACCATATCGTTGGTTTGTTATGGGGCCTGCAAGATCTGGTAAATATATTGGACATACGTTAATATCTTTCAGCACATGCGTGCGCATACCTTGAATTTTTTATCTAATTGAAAAAAATAATTATTGCGCTAATTAAAAAATATGTACATTTTGTTTTCAAAAAGATTTCGAGTATTGAAAAATTACTAACGTGGATGCTGTTTTAAAAACTGTAACGTCTAGAAACTTTGTATTACCATGTGTCATAAGTCAACAATTTTGATAATACAACGAGTTAGTAATGCAACAGTTAATATTGGATTAAGGAAAAAGTTCCTTTACAAATTGGTGAAAAGACTTGGCAACCCATATATTCTATTTAAAAAAAATTGGCAATTACACCACTTGGTAGAGCAATGTTTCAGCTTTAAGAATATGTATTTGTAATTGCGATACAATGATTTTTAATGGAGTTACGAACAATAAAGTCAGAATGTTCCTTTTTACTTAATCTGCAGGTATAACTCAGGAATAAAAAATCGTAGAAATATTTTTAAAAAACGATTTTGTAGGGAAAGCTTCAAGCTTTTACGATAGTAAAAAATTTGCTCAAAATTTTGTTGGGCGCGCTACAAATCTACAAAGTAAAAAGAAAAATTTTCATTTTTTTCAGTTTTCTATATGTAAAAATTATAAAACTCACATGAATTTAAAAAATATAGTAACCATTCAAAAGAGATTTTAAACTTTAAAACGCTTTCTTTAAATTTAAATTTTGGTCATTTTTAATGAAGATATTGATGCGGAAAGATCTTTTTTTATTAACTTGTAAAAAGACTTTTTCCCTAATGCAATAATATATAAAATACATTCTACTAAAAAAAAAAATCACAACAGGCACAGGAATACACATAGATCCATTGGGTACCAGTGCATGGAATGCATTAATCTCTGGCCATAAACGCTGGTGTCTGTTTCCTACGCATACTCCTCGCGAACTTCTAAAAGTAACTGCAGGCGAAGGTGGTAAACAAAGGGATGAAGCCATTACATGGTTTTCAGTTGTCTATCCACGCACAAAGCTATCTACTTGGCCAAAAGATTGTCGCCCTATAGAAATTCTGCAAACTCCTGGTGAAACTGTTTTCATTCCCGGTGGATGGTGGCACATTGTATTAAATCTTGACGAAACTATAGCGGTCACGCAAAACTTCTGTTCGCGTACTAACTTTCCAGTAGTTTGGCACAAAACGGTAAGAACTCGACGAGTAAAATACACATAATTATGTTACAATTAGGAAATATTATTAACGTAAGATTATTTACAAGAATATTTAGAGGCACGCACGCATAACAAATAAGCACTATACAAACTGTAATAATAAATTAATCACAGGTACGAGGAAGGCCAAAATTATCGCGAAAATGGTTAAAAGTACTCAACGATAAAGAGCCTGAACTGGCAACCTTAGCAGAAACTATAGATGTAAAAGAAGATACCGGTGTTGCCAGTGATTCCTCAAGTGGTTCCTCGAGTAGTTCATCGAGTAGTACCAGTAGTAGTCAATCTGAGGATAGTGAGGACGATAGCGGTCAAGAATCACTTACCGCGCATAAAAAGAAAAAAAGGTAGTATATACCGAAATGCTATAATCATCATGTATTATTCCTTTCCCTCTCTTTTTTTTTATACAATCGATTCATGTGACAATTATTATTATAATTAAAGTGTATGTATTTATATAATACTGTTTTAAAATTTTCAGAAGAAAATTGACTAATAATCAACCCTGACAATATCCAGTATTTGGAACCTACAGAGACCTCAGACTGTACAGTATTAACCAACAATTATTGTTTGTACTAAGAATAAATATTATAATTATTATTATTACGATCATATCTTTATGTTCATAACAAAATAAATATCAGATAACACATATAGCTTTTTTTCTATAGATATAATATTTTATCCAAGCATCTTATGATAATGCACATTATTCCTACTCCAGACTTTAACATTATGATTCGTCACTTTCTTAGACAACAAATCTACATATTGTCGTGCAGGTTTTTTTTTATAATTATCACATCTCTAATACTTATTAAAATTACAGTAAAGTCAAAATATATAAAAATATTTCGGAAGAATATTCTCAACAATATTAAAAAATGAATGCAATAGCAAAGTATAAAAAAAGTACAAACTAATGGATCAAGTGCATTATCACTTAAAGTAAACGAAAACTATATAATTGCAAATTATGTAAATACAATTTGTAGTATAGGACACATATGTGTTAGCTTTTGAGTGAGTTGCTCCTGTGGAAGGTCCTTACGTCTCGTTTATAGTAGTTCCATAATTTCACAGTTCCATCGCTTCGTATCGACATGATGACCATGCAAAGCACCAAAGTGGAGTAAACAACATAGAAGCAAATAATAACGAATTAAACATCCGTACACACTAGACCAATACACTTTTTACAATTGTCATAGTTATTTATTTTTTTCGATTCATTGACTAGCAAGAGAATGATTATACATCGTTGATGTCGTTTATAGAAAAAATATGCTTGTAATTGGATATCTCGTGCATTTAAATTTCAACTCAAATATGGTATTGCAATTTTGAAAATTGTAGATGGACAATTAAATTATGCTAATATGATTAGCAGAATCATAATTATGCAAATATAAATATAGACACGAAGTTCACAAAATGTAATTATGTATATTTATTCGACTTCAAGCATTAATAATTAGTACTGTATGTATTATAGTGTTGCGTGAAATGTATGATAACATTCAACGAACGTTACACAGGGTAACAAATAATGCAGCCATTTTTACTTGTAAAACGCTGCATTATGTGTAACATA